TTGGGGCCAACAAAAAACCAACCCCAGCCCTCCGCCTCTCACTCGGAGCAACTCTAGCAAAGGAGAGTGTCCAACCCCTCTCAAGGACTTGGGTTCCAGAGCCAATGCTATGTGTCGAGGTGAGTCCGACTATATCTAGCCGGTACCCCTCAACCTCTGCCACAAGCTCCTGCTCCTTCCCCGCCAGCAAGGTGACATTCCATGTCCCAAAAACCAGTTTCCTTGTCCGGGGATCGGACCGCCAAGGCTCCCGCCTCGGTCTGCCACCCGATCCACACTGCACCGGACCCTTCATGTTCCTCCTGCGGGTGGTGGGTCCACAGTTGGATGAGCCCATGTATCCGGTTCGGGCTGGGCCCGGCCGGGCCCCATGGGCGAAAGCCCGGCCACCAGGCGCTCGCTCACGGGCCCCAACCCCAGGCCTGGCTCCAGGGTGGGACCCCGGTAACCCTCCGGGCCGGGTACTCTGACTCCTTGATAGTTTTTCCATGAAAGATCCTCTGAACCGTTCTTTGTCTCACCCTTCACCTAAGACCATTTTGTCATGGGAGACCCTACCAGGGGCACAAAGTACCCCCGACAACATAGCTCCTAGGATCACTAGGGCACTCAAACTCCTCCACCACGTTAAGGTGACGGTTCAAGGAGGAGAGGTGTAATTGTGACAAAGCAAATGTTTACAAAGTTTTCTGAATGGTACAAATGTGTCGTGACCACTTAAAGCTTCACAAGCAGTGAAAAAAGAATCAAAGCTTTCGGTTGGCACTTCTGTCTTTTATTCCAAAATATCTTGCAAGTCAGTGGTAAAGTTGAGTTGCTGTGATCCAAACTGAGGCGAGATGTCCAAATATCAGGAAATAAGATGCCAAAACCGTCTGCAGCTCAGCTGTGATGTGGCTCACTGCTAGTTCCTGGAAATAGCGCACCGGTATATTTTTACCCACTTAGAATGAATTACAAGGCATACAAACATTTCAGAACAGAAAACCCATTTCAATTTTTGATGTTCAAATGTTTAACTAACACAGAATTTCAGCAAACAATAAACAAAAACAATCAAAAAACAAACAAGCACGCATACAATACCAGTGGTGGCTGACAGTGTGATAGTCCGGGGCTACTTTGCTGCTTCAGGACTTGAATGGCTTGCTCTTATTGAAGCAACTTTAAATTCTGCCCTTTACTGGAACTTTCGAAGTAGAATGTTTGACTTTTGACCTAAAACGTGCCTTTGGTACTGTTAAACATTTTAATATGGCTAAATGAAAACAATTCGGACCTAACGACACATATATGCATGTCATACACCCACTCTAACTCCCCATGCACACCCTACACACTCTGGTCCAGAAACTGCTGCACAGAGGGCACAACCACTCCAGGACCCAGGAGATGGTCTCGTTCTTACTGGTGTTACGATGAGCAGGCATCCCCACTCAATGCAGTGTAAAGCAACCCACCACCCCAACCCCCGAGCAGACGGCCAGCTCCCACTCCTAGCCTCCAGTCCCAGTCCGTGAAATGAAAACAGAGGTATGAGAAGATCCCTAGTTTCCCTCTGCCTGCTCCAATGTGGTGTTGATGTGTGTTGTTATAGAGTGCACTTAAAACAGGTGAGAGAATGGAGCAGTACAGACACTCTTGGGGTTTTCTTAACATCCATACTTGTGTGAACTTGTGTACTCATGAACTGGTGAGATGGCATCAACGTTGACCCAAGTACTGTTCAAATCCTAAGTCTGTATCATGGCAAGTGTGCTCAAAGTGCCCGAATGTGTTCTTGCTCCACCCATTTTATCAAGGATACTTCAACACATCCTTCTGCAAACTTAGGCTGGCAAGCTATCCCATAATGCGTTGCGTTGCAAACTGTACACCAAACGGAAATGGCAGAGGAGAAAGCTCATACCTGTAATATTTTATATAAAAATATTAATACTTTAATCTGAATAAATAAAAATAAAATGGTCTGTTATTGTAGATAAATATAACCTGTTAAATGTGTGTTTTTTCTAACTTTGATACCTCAAAATGCTAATTAGCTAACCCACTATAAAAAATAAAAGCACCATTGGCTTAAATAGCTCTGTTTCGAACTTTCTTTTTATTTAGCAGCGGGAAATGCAGATATTTTATCAATTTTCATAAAAAGTGGACCAAATATCATACAAATTAAAACTATTCATTGTTTTATTTTTCTTGTTTACGGAAGCAAAAAGTTTACTTTCCACATTGTAGTACTTTATTACTTACCTATACACAGAGGTGTGACCAAGTCACTGCTTTGCAAGTCACAAGTCTTTCCAGTTAAGTCTCGAGTCAAGTCCAAGTCAAAGACAACCAAGTCCAAGTTGAGTCCAAAGTCAACGATCTGGAAGTCCAAGTCAAGTCCATAACTTTGAATTTTCAAGTCATAATCAAGTCATCTGTCCAACTTCAATTTAATGACAATGATAATATATAAAGTCCAGAAATAAAGCTTCTTAAAGCTTAATTTATCTGCTCAAACAAGCAGAAAGTGCAACTGAAACCGATTATAAATAAAGTGCTGCAGCATTTAGCAGTAAATCAAACCCAGAACGAAGAATGATTTATGATTTTTGTCCATGTCGTGCCGCTTTTGTGCTAAAAAAACAAATATGCTCAAGTCATTAACAAGTCAACAGATACAAGTCGATTCAAGTCGCATGTCATTGGCATTCAAGTCCGAGTCAAGTCGTAAGTGTTTATAGATTTTATCAAATCAAGTCAGAAGTCATTAAAAGAATGACTCGAGTCCAAGTCATATGACTCGAGTCCACGCCTCAACCTATATATTTTTTCTGGTTTTGTCACATTGGGGAGGATGGTGCAGCTAGCAGGCATCAAACAGATGAAATGTGACTCAAAAGAAAATCAGCCTTCCATTCACCTTTTTACTAAACCCTCAGAAGACTTGCATCAATTTAACTGAAAGCATTTTTAACTGTGGCTTAGCATTTGTGCAGGATTCAGATGAAAACTTCATTTGTAAAATCTATTTTCTAGCATGTCCTTAGCAAACCCACACCTGTCAGTCAATCTCTGATCTAATTTGACCTTAAAATGTTTTTATTTTTACCTGATTCTTGGTATCTTCAGAAAACAAACCAGGACACAAACACTGATAAAGATAGAATAATGGAATGAAATTTAGTTGACTATGAGGTAGGAGGTGGAGAAAAACCATACATATCACCAGGGGCGGCGTTAGGCCCGGCTACATGGGCTCAAGCCCCGAATGTTTTATGAAAAGACTAGTGCGTGTTATGTGTGCGCGTGTGCGCGTGCACTTGTGTTAAGCCCCGGATCTTCTTCAGTCCTAAATCCGCCCCTGCATATCACTTTTAAAGCCTGTGAGCTCAAACTGACTTCAGGGGTTTTATTGAAGTATTTTCCATTTGTGATGGAACGAAGGACTCGACTGACAACATTAACAGCTGAGTGACTTCTGCGGTCTCCGAGGAGAAAACCGACACAGACTTGATTGAATTTTAAAATTATGGTGGAGACCGTTTCCTTGGAGGTAGGAAGTCCTGTCAGGAAGTCTGTTGGAACTAATGACGAGGAACAGTAGAGTTCCTGGGTGATTACTCGCTCTGAAACTCACAGGAGTCTCCTTCTTTTTTGTGTTAATGACAATTTTATTTTCCCAGGAGAGAGATAATATTTGATGTAATCTCTTAGATTCTCAGGGGGGACAACTCTCCCTCAAATTTACCTGGACTTGGTTAGACTGGCTTTAATAAAAGAAAAAAAACCTAGATAATTTAGAGCCATTCAGATAAAGCCACTGAGAAAATTCACACAGAAAACTGACTCATGCAGAAATGAATCCCCTGCTGGCTGTCATACGCTTAAACAATCATAGCCCTGTACTTAAACTACCATTTAAGATGTTTCGCTATTTCATTATGAATGAATGATGGTGTATGCACAAGACACATTGTCAGATGTGAAAATTGCAGAAGCAGATCATTAAATGACCTAGGACAAAATGCCTCAGGGTAGGCTCGAAAGAGGTGGGAGACCCCCCCCCCCCCCCTACACACATGCACACACACACACACACACACACACACACACACACACACACACACACACACACACACACACACACACACACACACACACACACACACACACACACACACACACACACTTATGCTGTCCCTACACGTTTGCATTAAACTTCAGCGCATGAGCAGGGAACCCTGGTCCTGGAGAGCCACTAATGTGGCAGGGTTTTCTACTCATTCTTTAGAGGCATAAAAAATGCAGAAATTTTGACCTGCAGTGAAAGCTGGGAGACTGCAGACAATTTTATTGCATTCAAATATATATTTTTAAATCAGACCAATCTACACGAGATATTATTGTTATTATTATTATTATTATTATTATTATTATTATTATTATTATTATTATTATTATTATTTATTTATTTATTTATTTATTCAGACTAAAATGGTAAATAATAATTATAGTCAGTGAATGAAAAAAACAAGTTCATAATTCAATAAATAAACAAATAGAAGTTTACATTATTTTGGCTTTTTGTCTGTTTATTTAGCTTTTGCATTATATATCTTGTTTTTATTTATTATGTGTTTTCTGCAAAGCGTTTTCGTGAATATTATGACTGAACACTAAAACAAAACAAAAAAGGTTTTATGTTTTTATGTAAAAGTGAAAGTCGAGATCACTGAGAAATCTAAAAGATTAATTTGTGTAGCAACACTGACATCTAGTGGTGGGAATGGGGATTAGACAAAATTTTGGTATGGAATGCAGCCTTAGATTAAAAAAGGTCACATTGTATTCATTGTTTGGCATGCCTATTGTATTTATACCTTCACGTGGATATTAGGTGTCGTGCCAGATGACGAAATTACAAATATATTTTTTTCGCTCTGTTATTCGAACAAAGTCAACTAAGCGTTGTAGAAATGGTATGCAGCCCTCCTTCCTCGGTCACATGCTAGTCGAACTGCATCACCTGATCCCTCTGCTTCCCCTTTAGATGTTCTTGCTCCCTCCTCTATAGAAAGCGTCTCTTATAGAGAAAATATCTCATTATCTTGGCTTTTCTGGCATCGGATTTATAACTTTAGCCTCGTATAACTCGCTGCTTTTGCAGGTTATACAGCCGGATAAATGCTGCTGGAGTGCATGATGAACGGACACGCCATTCTTTACACTGGGGTGGTTTTGGCCTTCTGGAGCACCATCTTAGTCGTTGGTAAGGTTCCAGATTCACGTCATATTTACTCGTAGTGGTTGAACGTTGGTGATTTGTGATGATGATATCAACGTTTTTAGTTGTGGTAGCCTTTCAGAAATGCTAATTCGCTTCTTTAGCACTCGTTTAAAGCTATTGATCACACCATCGTTAGCATGCTAGCTGCTGTGCTTTAGTTGCAACACATGATGGATTTTTCCTCTTTTAATAAAGGGAACTACAGCAGTTTCATGTGAGACTGAGACACACAAATGGTTCAACTTATTCCACATTTTTAGCTTAGTCAGTACTGTGCAGAAACCTTTGGTGATCCTTTATGTATTCATCTTTTACCACTACTGTCTTCTAAAGATTCTGTTTGTTTGTTTTTGGTCATTTTTGCTGGAATATATCAAATCTTAAGGTTAAACAGTTTGACAGGAAAACAAGGAGTGTAACAATAAGATGGTCCTCTAAAAATGTCAAACCTGACTATTAATCAACAAAAATTAGGTTTTATTTTGATCTCTGCCCGTTCTGTTCTGGACACTTTTTTACTTTGTCTTAGAAACATGACTCAGAAATATTCTGCTGCAGATAATATTCTTTACACATGCCCACCACTTCTTCTAGTCTTCTCTGCTGTTCCCCATGCTTGATTTCTTTTATTTATTTACACATCACACATTATGCAGTCATCTCCAGGTACATGGCCTGGACAGAATGAATCAAAAGCAGCTGAAATCTAAATTAAAACTCAAAATGACCTTCATGACCTTCAGATCAAAACCTAAATAAATACTTTGCAAGAACATCTGACTCATTGTATGCCAGGTGTAAATATATTAGGGTTGTTTTAAAGTTGAGCAGTAATTTTATCATAACGTGTTTATTTTTCTACAGGTATCTGCTATACCATATTTGACCTTGGGTTCCGTTTTGATGTAGCATGGTAGGTACCGTTTTTAATGTCCTATTAGAAAGTTTCATTAACTTTTAGACACAAATTTTATGTTAGACAACAGCAAATGTGGAGAAATGACCTCAGATTAAAAAGTACTGTTCCATTTCATTCTGAACATCTTTTCCCTCATTGTTTACTTGAAAAACTAATCGTATAATTAACTCAAATATTATTTTGATGTGATTAAAACTTGCCCTAGGAGCAATTGTCTTCATGTCGTGCACATTTGTATCCTCAGGTTCCTGACAGAGACGTCTCCTTTTATGTGGGCCAATCTGGGCATTGGTCTGGCCATCTCTTTGTCTGTGGTGGGAGCTGCCTGGTGAGGTTAAAATGCCAAGAAAGAAAAAGGCTTTTTCTTCCGACTACTTATATAAGCACACAGAAGATGCATTTTATTTTTGATTGCTTGTTATTTCTTACAGATCTCCTCCTTGAACATGTGGTTTCATATAAAACCTGCAGTGCTGTTGGTTTAACCGATCATTTAGAACCTTCTGAAATGGATTTAGCCGAATTTCTGTCTCTGGATTGCATTTAGGATTAATTGGATCACAGAAAATGTGTTACTTAGCAAAAATGAGTGACCAGCCTTGAGTCACATAAAACTCAGCAGCCTTTGGGGTCTTCTTAAACCTTTAAACGACGTAGAATGGAATTTTGATTATATAAAACTTGTACTAACTGTTGTTTTTATCCTTTTTTTTTCCTTTTCCAGGGGCATCTACGTCACAGGTTCTAGTATTATTGGTGGAGGTGTCAAAGCTCCTCGAATTAAAACCAAAAACCTGGTCAGGTAACTGAATTTTTAATACTTTGCTGATATGATGCAGTGACTATAACACCAGTGTGGGTTTAGTAAAGGTTTTTTCCTCATGAAAAGATGACCTAAAAGATGATTTCAAGGTGTTCTTTTTCTTTCCTTCACGTTTTGTTTTGCATTTCCTTATTTAGCATCATCTTCTGTGAAGCTGTTGCTATTTATGGGATCATCATGGCTATCGTCATCAGCAACATGGCTGAGGTAAATAAGCATTTCTGATAGTAAATAAATCCCCTTTTGTCCTTTTTTTCTGAATTGTGCACGGAGGAGATGTGTAGGTGCACTCAAAGTAAAACTCAAGCCCTGGGAGCTAAAAGGAACTCGAATAAAATGGCAGACAGCAGAAAAATGATAGGCAGTTGTTTCTAAAAATAATCTCCCTCATCTTATAGCAATTCTCCGGAACAACCCCTGAGACCATCGGTGCACGTAATTACCAAGCTGGTAAGAAAACACACAAAGCAACAGAATATTGAAGATGTGCTGAAAAAAATAGTAGCAGAAGGTTGAAAACGTCTGAGGAAATATTTATTTTTTATGTTAATAAAACGTTCCAGTTCCAGTGCAGTTGACTTATAATAATGTGTGACTCATTCTTTTCTTCCGTTTAGGTTACTCCATGTTTGGAGCTGGTCTGACTGTGGGTTTTTCCAACCTCTTCTGTGGGATCTGCGTCGGCATCGTTGGCAGCGGAGCGGCTCTGGCCGATGCCCAGAACGCTAGTCTCTTTGTGAAGATCCTCATTGTCGAAATCTTTGGCAGTGCGATTGGCTTGTTTGGTGTAATCGTAGCCATTCTGCAGGTAAATGAGACTCAAGTCTGAGTCTGCTGCTGTTCCTGCCAGTTCGGTCTTTCCCGGGATCAAATATAGTTCTTGTGATTTTTTTAATTATCTTGAAAGATGCTATAAAAATGGCTTTTTCAGTCATATAAATAGGTGTTTAAAGGAAAAAAAGCTAATAATTTGTTTTTATTTACTTTTTCAGACCTCAAAAGTAAAGATGGGGGATTAGAAGATGCTCTCACACACTCGGAGGAGGAGGATACTGCTGGAAAAATACGATGATTATTGTGTACATATGTCGTAAATTATTTAAATGTCTATATTTACCTGGTATTATTTTTAGTTATCATTCTTGTGAGGGTGAGTCATTTTTTCAGGGGTACGTTGAATGTTCAGTAAAGTAAAAGATGAAAATTAGCTTATTTTTTAAATTTACCCATAAAATAAATAATTAGCACAGTTAAGTAGTTGGCATATCTTTCTGACCACTCTTGTTGAATGGTAGTTTAAAAATGACTCTGGAGTATTTGAAAATATTGTGTGTGTGTGTGTGTGTGTGTGTGTGTGTGTGTGTGTGTGTGTGTGTGTGTGTGTGTGTGGCATATATATTTTTTGTTTTCATTCTTGTGAAGCATGAGGAGGTTGTTGTGTTTGTAGTCCGTTTGCCACATTTTTGCTTTCATATCTGTTCTACTCTGATTACCAAGTGGTCCTTAATCCACTTAGTGTTTTTCCTTTCATGCACTATAAAAGTGGTGTGGAAATAAAACTCAAACGTTTAGAACAACAGTGGATTTACTAAACTGTAAAGGGTTTGTTTCAGAAAGCCAAACGTTGAAATCAAAGCAGCAGATTTTCCAATACACCCCGCGGGCCTGCCCACTACGTCTACCGGTCAAAACATTCTGCCTGAGTGGATTTTTTTTCCAAAAACAACAGTTTCAGGGCAGGGAGAAGGATTGAAGGAAGACGAAAATCAATCTTTTAGGAGAAGCTTGGTTTGAGCACTGACGTCTAGAAATTCATCCAAAATAAATGACTTCAAGAACAAAGCGAGAAGCTAAAGTGCTGACATCTCTGCAGAGTGACTGGAACCTCACATTTAATCTGTTTTAAATGCACGTGACTATTTTATTTCTTTTTATTTTTGGCAATGTCAGCTTTTCATAGTTTTCTGAATGAACATTCCTTAAGTTGTGTCTGAATTGGAGAGTGTGTTGAGTTCTGGACATTCAGGAGTGTAGCATAGCGATCTGTCTTTGAATATTTCTCCAAAAGGCGGAGGTGGTCACAGAGGACAGAAATCTCACGATGCATTATTTCGTAGAAATGACAGACCAGGGCTAGTGTATGATTTGGTATCTAAACCCAAGGCTTTCACTGACTGTAGATGGTGCTGTGTGTGTACACTGTGTGTTGATGTGATGGTGATCAGAAAATATCTTGTTTTTGAAGCAGTGTCAGTCAAACCCCTTCTCAGATTTTCTTTTTAGCTTAATAAATGTCATTGAGAAAATAAAATGCTTTGATCAACATCTGGAAGTTTAGTTATTTATATTATTAAAAGGGGTTTTAGTGTTTCAGTCCACTAGGTGGCGCGAAAGACCACCTTTGCATCCTCAACTGCTGAATGCAAAATCATCTCAAAGAGGATTTAATAACTAATTTAGAAAAAAAGAAATGAAACCCTTAAATGCTTGAAAGTATCCCACAGAAAGATGCAAGTGCTAAATTATTCTTGATTAAAGTAAGCTTTTGTATTATTGCTGCTGGTATTTTTTGAAAACAAATTATACCAGATTAGGACAAAAATAGTAATTTCTCTTAACGCTTTTCTACAATTGGTAGCTTTAAGCTTTGTTTACATTCTATAAGTAAGTGTAAAACATTCTTAATAACGGCCTATGCTTGCATTTGCCTCTCTTTACATCACCCCTCACTTGAAATAAGACTGAAATCTGAAATAATCACTTTAAAATTTAGTTTGCGTCACGATGCAAATTTAAGGTCTACATTTAAATCCCATTATAAAAATGCGTATGTGATGTTTTTATTTATTATTCTCATACAGTGAATTAATAATGCACTTCGGAATCATAAAAGTTAACTCGTTAATAATTACATCTTTGCTTTCTGGCGGACATTGATAGGTTAATTTATTTCCAGCTTCTCAGAACAGAAGAGTTTAAAAAAGGCGAAAGGAAATGCTACCGCGCAGGCTTCCGTAGGCACCAAAAGCGAAGGGACCTGCTCGCCGCCCGAGAGCATCTCTCCCTGCTTTCGTTAGCCATCATCTGCACCAAAACACACCGGGATGACGGGAAACCGGGAGCGAAGGAAGCCGCCTCTAGCCGGTTTGCGGTAGAATATTAGCATTCCGGGTTGCGTGATGCTTCAACATCACGAGGCTGCTTCCCTGATGTGGAGGAGACATAATAGCTTGTCATAGTTTTCCTGAACAGAGTCGAGCTGGGCTCAGCTTCTGCTTGCGTTTTTCACATTCGTTTGTCTTTCTAGCGCGTTTGGGGAGTTTTGGGGTATTTTACATGATTTTATTTTTTTTCCCGTGGAGAGAATCCAGCAGCAGCACAGAGAAGATGCGCGGATAAGGAACACAACAAGGTAGGTAGGAGCACTATCTGCGTGCTTTCACTGGGATGCGTTGTTGTATTCGGCCCAGGATGCACGCTTGCTTTTGTTTTTTGAAGCTTTCACACCCAACCCGTCCTGCAGCTCAGAGTTTTTGATATTTTGGAGATCTGATCGCACACGCTGCCCCTCTTTTGTTACCAGCGTTCCTACACCCGCCATACTAGGCTTCCCTCAGCCTCCCTCCACTGTTCTTCTGCACTGAATGAACTAAATCACCACACAGACTCAGAACATAGGTCTAGAATTCATCCCGTCTCAGTTTCAGTTTTTTTTTGTCTGACTTTGGAAATGCAAATTGTCACAAATTTGCACCTGCTGCTTTTAAAGAGCAATTTAAAGCTGTGCACCAACCACAGCATCTCATGTCTAATGGTCCAGGAAGAGCACACTGAGTGCAAAGAGCACCGGTGTGCAGAGGAAGCAAGGGGATGTGCGAGAAGATGAGGATAAAGAGGGATGCATCTTCATCACAAAGCTCAACCTAACCAGGCGTTTACACTGAAACTCTGCACCTAGACTGTAATCCCGCCTGACATCTCTTTCATTTATGACACAGGATCTCTTTAGGACTGTTGTTACAGAGGCAAAGTAGCAAGTGGACTGGAACTGCCTCATTTTTTAGAGAAGCTGCTTCTCACGCAGAGTTGGGCTTGGTGGAAGCATTGAATTTTAGTTTTGATCCTCCAATGCTTAGAGAATTGTTCCCGTCATGTCCAATTCAGTGTGAACAGTTTCTGTGCTTGTGTGTGTTGTGAAATTAGATTATTTAATGAGATTATTTGCTTCTCAGATTTCAGAAATTCCAAATATGTCCATGATGGAAAAGCTGTGAACGATTACTAACAAACACACAACAACAAAACCAGCTGGTGATTGACCTAATTGATGATTGACCAACCTTAAAATCAGATGTTGTTGGTCCAGGCAATAAAAAATATATTTCTCTTTCTGTCAGCTCAGCATTGCCAGTTGCTAATTCATGCTTACTTTTGAGGAAGAGATTAGTGTCAGAATCCCAATTTGAAGCCATTTTAGCTTTCTAAATAATTATTGTATTCGCTTGGTTATAAATGATGCAGATAAACTAAAATCGACCAAAACTGGTGTTGGCTGGTCAGAGCTGTACCATAATTGGCAATAAAAACCTGAATGAATGCATCCTTACAAATGATAACTCTCTGAATGACCTCAGTTTGGGGAAACAGAGATTAGCTCTAAGAAGATGGATGAGCTTATGGTTTGTCCATGTAGGATCTATAATCAAAGGCTTACTGTACGAGCTTTTCATATTTTGAAAAATCATTTTCCTGAGCCAGTGTGTGCTAAAACGACCCTTTACAGGGTTAATGAAATCTCACTCAGGCCCTCTGTGGCCAGAAAACCGCACTTGCAACTTCAGAGTATTGGACTGGTCCCTTCTTAGTAAAGTGGAGTGCCAGCACTGGAGTCTGCTTCCAGCATAATTCCTGCATGTTTTAGATCATAAACACAGCTGATTCTGTTTGAAAACTATCTTTTATATAGCTCCTCTCAAGGTCAAAATCACAAGGTGCTTCACAAGAATAACTATTAAAAATGTAAAAAGATTTTTAAAAGTGATTAAACATATAAGAAAAATGAGAAAACATTTGGATTAAAATTTGAGGAAATGGAGATAATCTGTGGAATCCAGGAAAGGTGTAATAGGTAGAGAGGATAGTGCTGAAGGTCACACCAAAGCCTGAACAAGTGAGTCTTCAGCTGCATTTTAAAGGAGACCACTGAGTCCACTGATCTCAGGCTCAGGGGGAGAGAGTTCCAGAGTCGGGGGGCCACAGCAGCAAATGATCTGTCACCTTTGGTCTTTAGCCTGGTGCTGCACAACCAGTAGGCTTTGGTCACTGGACCTCAGGGACCTGCTGGGGGTGTAGGGACTAAGATCACCAATGTAAGATGGTGCTTGTCCATGTAGGGCCCTATAGACCAGAACCAGGATCTTGGAATGAACCCTGAAGTTGACTGGCAGCCAGTGAAGCTGGAGGAGAAGCGGGGTGATGTG